TTCCCGCGCCGCTTCCGCCTCCGTTCTCGCTGCGGCCCGTCTCCCTTCGATGGGCGACGTCGGCGCCCCCAGCCCCGGCGGTGCGTAGGAGATCCGCGGGGCGAGTTTCTCTGGCCCGGCTTCCAACTGATGGCGCGGCGCGGCCCCTGGTTCCGACGGCGCCCATTGCCCGGCTCAGAGGCCGGGTGGCGGTCTCATTCCAAATGCCCCTCATGGCGCGCGAGTTGCTCTGCTGAGTGGCGCTGCCCTTCCCGGGGAGTTCAACGATGGCCGTGCGCCCCCGAAAGAGATAGAACGAGCGCGGGGGGATAAGGTGGCGCTTGCTTCGTTCGGGGCCCTGTCCAGACTTGGCCCATCGTGCTCTCTAGCACCGGAAACAAGTTAAAACCGAGTGGTTCCGCCATCCCTGTGGCCCAGCAGGCCCAGTTTTCAGTTGCCCCCTATCTGACGGGAGGCATCAAGAATGCGTGGAAGCATCACGAATATTTTTTGCAACTCCCTTAGTGCGCGCATGCGATCGTACGGCATCGCCCTTCCCAAACCCCCGGCGTAATGTTTTTTCCGTTACGTCGACCCCCAGAGGCCCCGACCCCTTCCCCATGACCGGCTTTGCATCCTGAGTCGTTTTTTGACGCTCCCGAGGCCCGGTGAGGGCCCCCGGAGGCCGAAAATGAAGGAAAACCCTCCCGTCATGATTTTTTCATTACTCGAGGGGGTCTGGGTTTCTTTCCCTTGAGAGTAGTGAATCAACAGTTCCGCCGTCGGGGGCGCCTGTCCCAGAGTGGGTTGCTGGGGAGTTTACCCCCCCCACCTTCTGGCCCCTTTGGGACAGGCGGCCCGGACGGCGGACCAGATTTTTCTCATCGCCCGTCGTCCTCCAACGCGTGGCCGCTCCAAGCAGTTTTGCGCCCAGTCCAGCATTCTGGCTGTTAAAGCTGTTCTGGCTGAAGGGATCGCGCGCATGGAGGGCGCGTGCCGCGCGATGCATCACAGCAACTCAGTGCGCACGTTCGGGAAGTGATTTTTCGGGTTGTTGGTGTGGTAGGAAGAAAAAACATTCGCGAAGTGTTCCTGGTCGGCGCCGGGCCTGCGTGACCCATCGAGCAGTGGCGAAGCGTCCTGGCGTGCCTATTGCCCTACCAAGCACGGTTTGAAGGACCTGTGGTGGTTTTCGCGACATGTACTTAGACCATTTCTGGTGGGACGGTCGGTCCCAGACCCCCGACGTAATGATTTTTTCGTTACGTCGACCCCCAGAGGTCCCGATCCTTTCCCCAGGACCGGCTTTGCATCCTGAGTCGTTTTTTGACACTCCCGAGGCCCGTTGAGGGCCCCCCGAGGTCGAAAATTAGGAAAAACCTTTCGTCGTGATTTTTTCATTGCTCGAGGGGGTCTGGGGTCCCTGCTCACGCGCAGGCCAGCCCGTCCCCGACGCCGGTCCTCCGTCGCGCGCGGCGCCGGGCGCGGCGCGGCCGGAAAGAAGGCGACGCGCAGCGGAGCAGAGGCGGCACGGGCCGCCATCGGCGGGGCGGCTCCGGCCGACGAGGCCCACGGGTCCTCCCCGAGGTGGAGACGGGAGATGTCTCGGGCTGGCTCGGTACGCCTTAAAGCAGGAGGGGGAAATCACCCACAGACAGAATGAATCGTCGATTCCCCGCGGAGAATATATGTGCAGATTGGGCTTCGAGGAGGGAGCGCCTGCACCCTCTTTTCCACTCCTGTGGCAAGCCAAAATGCTGCAGCATCAACACGCACGTGCACAACTGAAATAGTCATACCAAGGCCTCCCCGGGCCCTGAGATCAGCAATATGGGAAAATATGGGAAGCGGGGGGGGGAGACAGAAACCCCGAACATGTAGAGAAATATGGGGAGTAGTGTTATTGTGTCGATTTACTTGTGTGTCCCAGGGCCCCTTCATTGAATCTGCCCAGGGTGTTGTTTTAGCGTTTTCAGCTCGGCGTCGTGGGAATCATGTTTTTGTTGCGCTTTCGGGTCTCAGCAAGAAGCTCAAAGGCGCTACACGATGATGCGTTGTTTTAGGGTCTTCAGCCTGAGAGCGCAAAACACACAAAAAACGCCAACAAAAACAGCCCTTCACATGTTTTTTGGTTGGGGAAAAAACGTCGCGTTTTTTTGTAGCGTTTGCAGCTTGTCAGGATCCCAGATGCAGAAAACGCTAACAAAAACGCCCAGGGCGCTTTTAAGGCGAACCAGCGAGATTGGAGATGTCTCGAGCAGGAGGCCCCCAAAAACATGGGTTCCGTATCGCGAGGAGGACCCACCCTCAATCCCTCCCTCCCTCCCTCCCTGGCTCCTCGTGTTGACGGTGGTGGTGCCGATGTTCAGTCCTCCTGTGCGATAGCGGACCAGCAAACCTCTGACCGGGCGGGGGTGGTCGCAACGCCGCGCAGACGAGCAGCATGCGGCCTGGGATCGCGTTTGGTGTTCCCTCTCCACAAGCTCTCTTTCATTTCCTCCTTGCCCACTGGTCCGCACGGTACTGTTTTGGCCCGCTGGCCCCGGACATCCAGGCCTCGGAAAAAAAGAGCGAACACTCATGCAACATTCATCGGTCAACGCCTGCCTTTCCCCCAATGTCAAAGTTGGCGGTGGGTCTGATGAGTTGCACCTCGGTCGCAGTCTCTTCCCGCATGCCAGCGATACCGGTGGGCCTGGAATTTGGGGAAAGGGTGAGTTTCCATTAATCGTTTCCCTCTACCGTCCGACGTCCTGATGTTGTCAAGACGGGGCCCCAGAAGTTCCGACCCTTTCCTCAGGCGGGTTTTTCAACCCGTGTCGTCTTTTGACAGTTCCTCGGGACCGGCGAGGGACCCGAGAGGCCGTAATCTACAATACACCTCCGGATTTGGGTTGTGTTCACGACGATCCATGCCTGGGCCGTCCGCGCGGCGCGGTTGTGGCCAAGATCAATCGTTTCTGACCGCCGCCGGTCGACGCCTAGCACGCCAGCGCGCAGCGCGCTTCAGATCGGACAGGTGGGGAGGCCTGCCTCTGATTTCGGCCACGCGGGGGGAAGGCTTCTTAGGAGCACCCCTGCTTCTTAGAGGGTGCGGGCCTGATCTGTAGATGTAAGACTGGCGCCCTCTGAGAGGCAGCCTCCTGCCAAGAGGCCTTCCCCCCTCCCCTGCCCCCTTGCGCGCGCCGCCAGTGATTCCCCGAGCTCCGGCGTCGCGGACAGAGCTGCAACACTTGCCTGGCATCGCTCGGACGTGTGCATTTTTCCTCGGCGAGAACCATTGAGGACGATCCTAGACCATCGAGCAAAAAAAAACACGCACGAAACCGAAAAATGAACGGGGAATGGATGTCCGAGCGATGGCGAGCTTAGGAAGACCACGACCGGGGCCCTCGACCCCGCCCCCCTGCCCCCTCAGACCCTGGCGTCGCCGTCCTTCCACACGGGGCGGCCCTGCCCGGGTTCTGGCCCGGGAGCCAGCCCAGGTCGATCGTGCTCACAAGATGTCGACTTCAGTCAACGCGCATAGTAAGGACACACGACTTTTTCAAGGGTGCCCTCGGGTCCTTGCCTGCCGCAGCCTCTGCGGCCCGTCCCTAGCAATTTTCGCATGCCAGAATACTTCAACTTCGGCCTCCAAGGGTCTTGCGTCCTTACCACGCGTCCTTACTATACGTTTTCACTGTATACGTAAGAGCGGCTGACCTTTCGCCGGTATGCCTTCTGGTGCGAGCCAAAAAGGTAGGGCGACGAGATCTATACATATCCACTGCTCCTGGCCAGGCCCATCCTGGGCCCAGGAGCTGTGTATATGCCTCCCTGGCCAGGCCAGGAGGGCGTATACACCGCTCCTGGGCCCAGGATGGGCCTGGCCAGGGAGCAGTGGATATGTATAGATTTCGTCCCCCGAAAAGGGCCCCCCCCCATCGCTGAGCGCGAAGCGGCAGCAGCGGGCGGCGTGCCCAGGTCCGGCCGCCCCGCGCCCCCCGGTATTAAAGCCGCGCACCGCAGGTCACCCTTGCCTAAGTAGGGCCGCTCTTGCGTATATCAGGAGGGGAAAAAACACACAGACACAATCAATCGTCGATTCCCCAGAAAATATGGGGAACAAAAAGGGAAGTGGGGGGGAAAACAAAAACCCAGAAAATATAGGAAAATATGGGGAATCTTTTTATTTGTGTGTATTTATTTGTGTGTTTGTGGGCCCCTTTAGAACACCCAGACCCCCTCGGGCAACGAAAGAATCACGACGGCGGGTGTCTCGTCATCTGCGGCTCCTGGGAGCCCTTATACCAGGCCTCGGGAGCGTCATGCTACGACTCCGGATGAAGAACTGGCCCTGGGGAAGGGGTCGAGACCTCTGGGGGTCGACGTTGTGAAGATATCCTGGCGTCGGGGGTCTGGGAATGCGGCAGCAGCTCAGGGCCGGCGGCATGCCCTCGAGCCGGGTACTGTCCGCGCGGGCCCCGGGGGCACGTGGCCAGGGAAGCCGCCCAGGTGAGAAGAAACGTGATGCCCATGGATCTCGCGGTTCGTCCGTGTGCGTTCTCAGAGGACTTGGCATCGCTCGGACGTGTGCATTTTTTCTCGGCGAGGACCATCGAGGACCATCCTGGACCATCGAGCAAAAAAACACGCACGAAACCGAAAAAGGCACGGGAAACGGACGTCCGAGCGACGACAGGAGGAGGACCCAGAGGTCCAACGTATTCGCGACTTTCGGCCCCTAGGGGCCCTCGCCGGGCCTCGGGACCGTCGAAAAAAACTGGTCCTGGGGAATGGGTCGAAACTTCCGGGGACCGCGCATTGAACAAATCACGACATCGGATCTCTGGGGAACAATGTACCCATGCCGCTACTTTTTGCCCGTTTCCCTCTTTTTCGCCACCGTTGCATTCGCCTCGAGATCCTGGTCAGAGCGCCTTCCCGGAGAGGTCCGGGGAATAGTGGTGTTGGCACTTGCTGTTGTCCCCATGTTCGGGCGCGCGCGGGGGATGCAAACAAAAGACGGCGCCCGTCAGCAACCAGCTCGCGCAGTTCGGCAGCACCAACAGTAGCAGCCTCCTGACGCCAGGCCACCGTGGCCTGCGAGGGATGTATGAGGACTGAATCGGATCATCCTGCTGCTGCGCCTGCAGCTGCCTGCCCGCTGCCGCCGTGGTGGTTCCTCGCTGCTTGCTCTTCCCATCCTGCCCCTCCTCACTCTTCCCCCCTCTTCCTTTCTGCATGGCGTTTCTCTTCCTGCGTCTCCTCTCATCCCTGCCCCCTTTTTCTTCCTCCTGCTCCCTCCTCCGTGTCGTTGCTCCTGGACCTACTTTTTACTCTTTCTCCTCCTCCTCCTGAATCCTTCCTCCTCCTCCTCCTACTCATTACTCCTCCTCCTCCTCCTCCTCCTTGATCCTTCTTCCTTGTGCCTAGCTTCCACTGTCGCCCCACCAGTCGTGTCAACAGGCACGGCCGAGCGTGCCGCTCATGACGTTGGCACATTTTATGATGCTGAAGCTGGAATCTCCAACAGTGACGCGGACGGACGGTCGTTTCCAAAATTGGGTTCTCGCCTCTTAGGAGGGAAAAGGAGGGACAAAAACACACAGACACAATTAATCGTCGATCCCCCTGAACATATAGGAAACTATGGGAAGTGGGGGGGGAAGACAAAAACCTAGACAATATTGAAAAGTATGGTGGATTTGGTTACTTGTGTGTATTTATTTGTGTCCCAGGGCCCCTTCAGCCTCAGCGCCGCGAACGTTCGTTTTAAAAACTTGCAGAAGTCATATAGGTGGAGGGCCGATGTTTCTCAAATTGCGGCTCAGAGCCGCGTACAGTCGTCTTTCAGCTTTCTACGGCAAGGATGGAGGTCCCGTTGTTTTCAGCTTTGAGTTCCCGCCCTAGGGCCGTGCACATGTTCTTTGCTAGTCTGCGACACTTGCAATGATGGAGGGCCGGTGGTGTTCAAAACTGTGCTCTCGCCTCAGCCCCGCCCATGTCAGTTTGAAAAGTTTGCAACACGCGCAAGAATGAAGTCCAGATCGTTTTCAAGATTCGACTCTCGCTTGAGGCTTCCGCATCAAAAATGTTAGCCAGCGTGGTCGCCAAACAGTGACTTGTTGGACTGGGGATTTTACAGCTATACGGTTCAAGCTATGCGGTGTAAACTATCACGCGTAATGTGTGTGTGTGATGTGATTTATGGTATGGGCTATGCGATGTACCACACGTGAAGCAAGCGGTGTCGTACAGTTTGCGCGGTGTGAGCTGGAGGTGGAAGCCATGCGGTGTAAGCTGTGCGGTTTCAGCTGCGTCGTGAGAGCTGTGTGGCTTGCGGAAAAGGGTTCGCTCTCGCCCCGCCGACCAAAACAGTGTGAGCCATGTGGCGTGAGAGGCACGGTGTCGGCTGCTCGCACGTAGCGCAAGCCGTGTCGCGCGAGCGATGTGGTGCAGGCTCGGCGCACGAGGAGGGCGCCCGCGAGGCGCCCGCGGGGCGGCAGCGTGGCGCGGCCTCTGCGGACCCACCCAGCGCGCGGGGGCGCCCACGAGCGCCCCCGAGGCGGCCTGGGCGGCCACGGCCCAGCCAGCGCACGGGGCGGGGCGGCCAGGAGCGCACGCGAGGCCGCACGCGGCGGCACGAGGCGGCACTGGCGGACCCGTCCAATCATTGGGCTGCTCCTCCTCCTCCTCCTCCTCCTCCTCCTCCTCCTCCTCCTCCTCCTCCTCCGGCCAGTGCCGGCAATCCGGAGGGGGGTGAGACCGAGAAACTTCGGACATGACGTCGGACATACCCCCGGGTACCGAAGACATCGGACATGACGTCGGAAAAATAACGTACGCCCCCCCCCCCCTGCAGAGCGAAGCTTGAGCGAGCGCAAGTGCACGCTCTCAGAAACTCACACGCCGGATCGGCGTATTTCAGGAAGCTGTGTAAGAACACCCAAGTGCAAGTGCTGTTGTGAGAGCACGTCGCGGAGTGTTTGTGCGATGGGTACATGGGTGGAGGGCGGATCCTTTTTCGGAAGGGGCGTTTCGTTTGAGAGTTCCTCAACACACCTTCGACGTGAAGATCTAAATCGTGCAACATCTACACGGATGGAGTTCGGCTCTTTTCTCAAAATGGGGATGTCGCTTGATATTTCCGCAAAGCTGATGAGCATCATTTTGTAATCGCGCAACCCCTACACGTATGGAGGGTTGGTTTTATCAGAATGGGGTTAACGCTGGATATATGTTTGGTCATGCTGCCTATGTATTTTTCTCCGCGTTCCGTCCTGGTCATGGCCCCGCGTCTCAGGAGGGATGGAAACACACAGACACAATCCATCGTCGACTCCCAGGAAGATATGCAAACATATGGGAAGTGTGGGGGAACACAAAAGCCCAACAAATATGTGAAGCTATGGGACATCTTTTTATTCGTGTGCATTAATTTGTGTGTCGTGGGCCCCCTTCAACGTCACCGCCCTCCTCTCGCGGCGGGCATCCGCGCGCAGTCAGAGGAGGAAAAAGATACCCACGTCTCCACCCTTCCCCCGCGGCCACGGCTGGACTCGCGCGTCGGAGTCCTGGCCATAGCCTCGGCATCGCTCGGACGTGTGAAATTCTTCCTTCGCCGAGGACCATTGAGGAGCATCCTTGATCACTCGGCGAAAAAAACACGCACGAAACCGAACAAGAAAAACACTCGGCATACCCGTGCTCGGACGTGTGCATTTTTCCTTCGGCGAGGACCATCGAGGAGCATCCTCGATCACTCGGCGAAAAAAACACGCACGAAACCGAACAAGAAAAACACTCGGCATACCCGTGCTCGGACGTGTGCATTTTTCCTTCGGCGAGGACCATCGAGGAGCATCCTCGATCACTCGGCGAAAAAACACGCACGAAACCGAACAAGAAAAACGCTCGGCATGCCCGTGCTCGGACGTGTGCATTTTTCCTTCGGCGAGGACCATCGAGGAGCATCCTCGATCACTCGGCGAAACAAACACGCGCGAAACCGAACAAACAAACACTCGGCATGCCCCGTGCCCTCCCGCGCGTGCGCCGTGCGGGGCGCGGGGCGGCGCGAAAGGGGGCGAGGGGGGCGGGCGGGCGGCCTCCTCGGAGCGCGCGGGGGGCCTCTCTGACGGGTCCCCCCGCCCTGCGAGAGGCCGTCTGATGCTATGCTGCTCCTGCCTCAGCTTTTCGGCGGCGGGCGCGGGGGGGAAATGAGAAGGGGCGGGGCTTCCGAGGCTTCTGAGAAGTTTCTGGACTTCTGAGAGGGCTTCTGAGAAGTTCTGTCTGTATTCGAAATAGGCCAAGGAAACGTCTCAGAAGCCCCCCGGACTTCTAAGAAGTCCCGCGGCCTTCTGAGAAGGCCTTCTCCTTCTCATTTCCCCCCTGGGCTCGTCGCCTAGCTTTGACATCCAGACCTTTGTGGGCGCCGGAAACGGCAGGGTCCTCCTCCAGGCGGACCCTGCCGTCGGGCATGTCCTCCTCCAGGCGGATCTCGGACGAACAGTGAAGCATGGTCAAAACAATGTTCAGGAATTCTCAAGACATGTAATCGACAAATCCTGCCCAGACTATGTGTTGTCCATTCCTGAGTACTCCTCCTCTTTGTGGGCCCCGGAAACGGCAGGGCCGTTTTTGCCCCGTTCCCAAAAAAGTGCCCCTTGAAAAGGGAGACAGCAAAAAAACGGCGACCGGAAACGGCAACAAACGGCTCCAGGATTGGAACCGGAGCCTGAACTGGTCAAAAAACGGCGACGGAACCGGTAAAAAGACGGCGTCGGAACCGGCAACAAAAACGGCAAAACGGAACCGGTAAGAAAACGGCCCTGTCGTTTCCGGGGCCCACTAAGCTCCAGACAGGACTTCGAGCACCAAGGAAGTAGCGAAGCCGAGGGCTTGCACGCGTCGGGCCCTGGGAGGCGATGGTCGCTCGACCCCGTTTCGATACTTCTCGGGGTGCTCGAGATGATTGCTGGGGGTGTGGCCCTCAAGTTTGATGGGAGCAACATAAGTAGTCCACTGGAGCCTCCGCGCTTCCTTCCGGGCAGCCCGCCCCCCCGCCTTGGTCGAGCCCTGGCCCAGTCCGGTACAAGCCCGCTCGCTCGGGCTTCACTCCTGGGCTTCGTCAGGGCCAGTTCGGCCCCGTGGATCCATCATCGGGCTTGTTGCGGACGGGGCCAGGACGAGGATATGGATCCGTTCCAGAGCGTTCCGGAAGGCTCTCGGAGCGTTCCGCATCGTTCTGAGAAGGCCGCCTCGCCCGAGACGTCCTCCCGAGCCGCTGGATCTCAGAGATCCTCGATCTCTATACTCAGCCGATTTTATCCTCGTCCTGGCTTCGTCTCACCGAATCGCCTCGCTCATTGCTTTGGAGACTTCCCAGGAACTGTGTCCTAGCATCATGGCCCATCGTCGGGTTCGGAAACAACTCGTTGGAGCCTGGTATACCCTTTGAATTCCGTCTTTCGCATCGTCGATTAGCGTCGATTAGCGTCTGGGTGTCGATGAGATACAGTCGGGGCCCTGAAGAAGGAACCCTTTTTGTTGGGGAGGGGCTCCGTGTTCCTAAGTTGCTTTACAGTGCTCCTTGGGTTTTCCTGAGGTTTTCCATGGAACATCGGAGTTCACTATATGGGAAAAAGCGGCCTCGTTCCTTATTTAGGGTTCCTTAGGTCAACGCCCCGACTGTAGCGCCGATTTAGCGTCGGTTGGCGTCGCTGCAGTGTAGCGTCGACTGTGCGTCGACTCAGCGTCGGCTGGCGCCGATCCGCAAGAGCCGATAATATTGTATGGGAGACTCCCTTCCCTCCTCCTCCTCCTCCTCCTCCTCCTCCTCCTCCTTCTCATCTTTTTCCTCCTCCTCCTCCTCCTCCTCCTCCGCCTCCTCCTCCTCCTCCTCCTCTTCCGCCTCCTCCTCCTCCTCCTCCCTCCCTCCCTCCCTCCCTCCCTCCCTCCCTCCCTCCCAGCATCCCTCGTGAGGGCTGCGAAGTCTCAAACCGTCGCCACTTTCGAAGGCTGCGGGGGGAGCCCGCGCAGTGGAACCCCACGCAAACCAAACAGTTCACTCGCCATCCCTCTTGGGGGCTGCGGAGTGTGAAACCGCCACCACTCTCGAGGGCTGCCGGGGGAACCCGCGCACTGGGGCCCCACGCAGACCCCCAAAAAACCTCGCCATCCCTGGCGGGCTGCGACGTGCGAATTTGTCGCTGGTTCTGAGCCGCCCCGCCGCCGCCTCCGCTGCGTGGCCTCGTCCTTCGAGCCGCATCGCCGATGCATTGTCGATGCAGCTCGATGTGGAGCCCGAGTTGCTGCACGTCGGCGTCGCCGATGCACCGCCCACGTCGACGATTTGCTCCACGTCGGCGTCGCCGATGCATCGCCCACGTCGACGGTGCATCTCCGATGTATTGGCGATGCGGCGCGACTCTCCGACCCCATCTACTCCGACCCCATCCAGGAGGCCTCCAACGAACGCCAGCTGCTCGCCTGGACTTTAGGATGGCGCCTGGCTTCACGTCGGGCATGTCCGTCTACAGGAGGAGCACTCAGGATTGGACAGCAGATAGTCAGGGCACGACTTGTCGATGACGTGTCTTGAGCATTTCTGCACATTGTTTTGACCACGTTTCATTGTTCGTCCGAGATCCGCCTGGAGGAGGACATGCCCGACCCAGGCTTGGCTCCTCGGACACGTTGCAATGGGGGGTGACATGGGGGTCAGGAGATTCGGATGTACCTCCTGGGAAGGAAATTCGGACTTTGCTCTGGTCCGACATTCGGCTCCATCCGGCTTGATCCCACTTAATCCGGCTTAGCCCCGCTTAGTCCGGCTTAATTCCACCTAATCTGCGGCCCAATCCGGCGCAAGAGCCCCCCCCATGGGGCTTCATCCCATTGGATCCTTCTGACGGAGACCTCCCAGTGGTTGCCTCCAGAAAGAGAGGAGCCCCAAAGGGCCTTTTCTCTGCACCCCCACTTCAGGTCACCCCCAATGGCCACCCGCCCAGGCTCCTCCTCCCGGGGCTCCACCCAGACGGTCTTCCGGCGATTTTTACTCGATCTTGGAAGCTCTTGCCGTTTCCCTCTCAGGGAAAGGGGGATGATCTTCTCCCCCTCTTCCTTCTCCTCCCCCTGAGGAGGAGGAGGAGGAGAAGGAGGAGGAGGAGGAGGGGGAGAAGGGAAGGGGGACGATCTGCCCAGGGCGCAACGACGGCGGAGCGAGGGGAGCCGAGAGCAGCCCGCCGGCGAGCAGAAATCCGGTGCAGCAATCCGCTGCAGCAATCCGCTGCAGCACGCATCACCATCTCGAAAAATTAGCAGCACACGAATTGTGTTTCAGCCCTAGGGCTGATAGCAGACCGAGATCAGGCGTCTAGATACGTTGAACTGGCGCGTCTGATGATTCCTTTCCGATTTCTGTGCTGAACAGCTCCGTAGCTCATCTGCAGCTCGACCAGTCCTCCTCCTGCGGCGGCCGCCTTGGGCACCTCGCCCACGCCTCGGGCGGCCGTCGTGGACACGCCGCTGTGGACCGCCCTCGCAGGCAGCCGTCGAGGATAGCCTTCGTCGAGGACAGCCGTCGTGGGCACTCACGCGACAGCCGTCGTGCGGCAGCCGTCGTGCGGCAGCCACCGCTCGCGCAGCCTACAGTCGGGCCTGTCCCTCTACAGAAGTCATCTTCAAACATAGACAAAAATAGTATAGGGGGCGGTTTCTTGAATCTTTGTCTGACCATTTTGGGGCATTCTGTGACTGTTCTTGCAAATGTTTCGTCCAAAGTCCTCCTGCAGGAGGACAGGCACGACTTCAGCGCAGCCGCAGGAGGCTCGGCCCGGCCAGCCAAAGACATGCCTCGAGGCACGGCCGCTCCTCCCTCCGAGCCGCCGCAGTCGAAGGCACCCGATCATCGGCCCCTCGGGGCTCCGGGCGTCGCGGCCCCCGCGTGCCGTGCCAGCTTCCTGGCCTCGGGAGCTCCCCCTCGACTCCCTTTACCCTCGGCAACGTGCGCGGGGGGTGGGGGGGGAGGGAGAGGGGAGAGGGGGGAGGGAGGGCTTCTCAGAAGCGCCCCTGCTGCTTAGAGGGTGCGCGGGTCGCATCTGCAGATGCAGGGGGGGCCCTCGCCTTCAGCGAAGCAGCCCCCGTCTTAGAAGCCTTCCGATACCCTCGTCGTCTGCGCGCCGCCGGCCAGAGCTCGCACGAGCGGTGCGCATCCCTTCCCTCCCCCCCTCCTCCCGTGTGTTGCTCCTTCGCCTGCGCGGCTCAATATACAAAAAAAAGACACACACACACACACACACACACACACACACACACACACACACACACACACACACACACACACACACACACACACACACACACACACACACACACACACACACACACACACACAACACACAATAAATTTATACATATATATATATATGTACATATATAAACAAAAAACAAAAAACGGGGCCGTCTGCGCCGACCTCGGTGTTTGGGCCGCCCGCGCGTGGCCGGGAGGCCTGTGTTGGGCCATCTCGCGTGCGTCTCCCCGCTTCTCTTTGCCTCGCCCGTGCTGGAGCGCCCGGCGGAAGACTCAGCCACGCGCAGAGGGGGGCGGGGGGAGGGGGGAGGGCTTCTTAGAAGCACCCCTGCTTCTTAGAGGGCGCGGGCCTTGTCTATAGATGTAAGGCCGGCGCCTTCTAGGAAGCAGCCTCCTTCTAAGAAGCCTTCCCCCCTCCCTCCACCCCCTTTTGCGCACCGCCAGGAGACAGCGAGGGGGACTTCGGCGCGACGCCTGCGCGTGGCCAGAGGGATCCCGGCGCGGCCTCTCCTTCGGCACGAGGAGGCGCCCCCTGCACGTGCAGTGGCGCGGAGCGCCCCGCGCGGAAGCGCACCGCGAGGTGGTCTTGGCAGCTCCTCGTTGCCGTCGAGGCTGCCAAGGAGTCCGCGGCCGTGGTCGTCGGCGTGGCCGTGGTTCGGGGAGTGAGAAATGGCAGAGACACGAGAACTCGGAGGTCCGCGCGGATTTCTCGGATCCGCGCTGGACCCCCCTCCCTTGGCGCGCGGCGCGCGCCAGGGGCGGCGCGGGAGGCGACGTCGGCTGGCTCTGGAGTCCGACCGTTTCTTTCCGACCGGGGAGGCGGAGGAGGGGTCGATCGCCGCGTGGCCAGGCACAGCAGGCAGCAGGCGGGCGGAGGAGGGGGGGGGAAGGGGAGGAGGCCCTGAGGAGGCCCTGAGGCCGGTGCTCCAAGCTTGGTGACAAAAGGGGGGGGGGGTAGTTATAGCAGGCAGCACGTAAGCCGTGGAGGGGGACGGGGTGGGAAAGGAACAGGAGGAGGGGGAGGAGAGGAGGGGGAGGGGAGGGGGAGGAGGAGGAGGAGGGAGGAGGAGGAGGAGGAGGAGGAGGAGGAGGGAGGAGGAGGGAGGAGGAGGAGGAGGAGGAGGAGGAGGAGGAGGATGGGGAGGAGGAGGCTTCGAGGCTGGTGCTCCAAATTTTTCAATGATGGCAGGGGTCCACAGCCCTCCCGGACGAGCAGTCTTTAGACCCCCGTCAGACCAGCCATGAGAGGAAGGCCTTTCGATCGGACCCCGCGGAGCCCTCCGAGACAGCCCCAGTCAGACCCCCTACAAAAAATCAGACCGCCACCATTTGATTCTGCATTTCGGTATTCGTTTCGCCTTCGCCCAGACAGGCATCCAGAGTTAGGTCGGAGGTGCCCCCCTACAGGCGGATTTTGGGCAAAGAATGCCACAGATACAAAACAGACCCCCAACTTGTCAGCAATAGCCGAAAAGTCGTCCCCATATTAGTTCTTGTGACTGTTTTGGAACACTCCTCCTGTAGGGGGACATGCCCGACTTCAGTCCAGAGGCCCCCCTGGAGCCAGAGCGGGCCGTTCCTTCGCTCCTTGCCGCGCCGATCCTCGATCCTCGAGGCTCGATCCTCGATCCTCGATCCTCGATCCTCGATCCTCGATCCTCGAGGCTCGATCCTCGATCCTCGATCCTCGAGGCTCGAGGCTCGACCCCCTGTCCGCGCTCGAGCCTCGAGGCCCGAGGGCCGGAGCGCGGGCCTCTCGAGAGGCACTGCGGAGGCGCGGGGGGGGGGGGGGGGGGGGCGCGGCTCAAAAGGGCGGCTCAAAAGGGCGGCTCGCTCCTCGAGGGGGCCCGCTCCTCGAGGGCCTCGAGTCGGGCTCGCTTCTCCTCGAGGGCCTCGAGGCCTCGAGGGCCTCGAGGCCTCGAGGGGCGGGGCGCGGCGCCTCCGCCGCCCGCCAGCCGCCCCCCCCCCCCCCCTTTGGGAGGCTCGCCGGAGCCGCTCGCGCACGCGCCCGCGGGGAGCGGCAGCTCGCGGCTCGCCGCCCTCGGCTCCCAGGGAGGCCGCCGCGGCCGCCGCGGCCGCCGCGGCCGCGGTCGTCGCCGCCGCCGCCCTCGTCCTCCACGGAGCTCCTCGCGGTGCTCCGATGCAGGCCCAGGCGCCCTCCTTCGAGCCAGGGAGCAAGACCACGGCGGGAGGTTTTACGCCAGGTTCGGCCTCTGGGGGGGGCCCTCACTGGGCCTCGGGACTGTCAAAAACGATCCAGGACGAAAAACCGGTCCCGGGGAAGGGGTCTGGACCTCTCTGGGGGTCGCGTCATGAACAAATCATGACGTCGGAGGTCTGGAGGCGTTGCAGTTTTTTCAAGCGTTTTCGAAATGTCGTGCCTTTGGACCATCGCCAATCGATGCGGCTCAAAAAATGACGTAGAGACGGGGTCGGGCTCCGGTCGTGATTTGTGGCGATGTTGTAATTTCCTGCCACGGCGGATCTCTGGGAGTCACGGCGGCAGGTTGGTCCAGCAAGTCTCGACCTCCAGGGGCCCTCGCTGGCCCCATGCGGACCGCCAGGAGGACGACTCGGGAGGGAGAGCTGGTCCCAGGGAAGGGGTCGAGGCCTGCGGGGGTCGACGTTTGCAGAAGTTTTGGCGTCTGGGGTCTGGGTCTGTTTCGGGGGTTGGCAGAGCCCCCCACCCTGACACGTCGATTAGTGGATTGTCCGTTTTCGGTTCTCGAGAGGGCGCCGCGGCCATCATTTTCCGGGCTTGCGCCCGCCAGGTTTGGGCCCGAGGTCGTTTTCACTAAACGACGTTTTACTAAAGGTCTGTCCATCCCCGACTGTGGCTGTTGTCGTTTCTGGTTGTGGTGGTGGTGGTCCGTGGTCGTGTCGTGGCTGCAATCGTGGTCCAGGGCAGCCTCGCGTCCGTTGTCTTCGTCATCGTGCGTGGTGGTCGTCGTCGGTAGCCAGGATCTCGTCGTCGGACGGGGACGGGGAGGGGGAGGAGTAGCAGGAGCACTAGTAGCCGCAATCGGCAGCAGCAGTAGCGAAAGCAGCAGCGGGCCATACGCAGCCACAGGTGGACAATCACGGGGAGGAGGAGGGTGGAGCAGGCCAGAGGAGGAGGCCAGAGGAGGGCGTGGAGGAGGAGTTGGAAGGAAGAGAGAGGAGGAAGACGATGGCAAGAGGACGCTGGTGGAGGATGGAGAGCATGGTGGAGGAGGGTGGAGGAGACTGTTTACGTATAGGAGTAACTGCAGGGGGAGGAGATCAGGGAGGGAAGTCGAGCACGGTGGATGAGGATGGATGAGGGTGCAGGACGGTTGACGAGGGTGGAGGTGGGTGGGTGGAGGTTGGAGACAGGCGAGAGAGACGAAGGCATCGGGGATGAGAGTGGGTCGCCGTGGAGTCGTGATGGCGAGGCTCAGTGTCCAACGCCGCGGCGTTCGAGCCTGAGCATTCGGATTCGGGGCACACGGGCGCAGCCCGCAAGTGTTCACTTCCGTGAGGCCGGGTAGGCTGGCTAATTGGCTGACTCGCCAGGACCGTTGATACGGCAGTTTTTCCGGCAGTGGTGGATGAGGATATTTGGTTGGCAGTTGGCAGTTGTGACCAGGCTCAGCGGCGGGTGAAGCTTTGTTGGCGATGTCCGCAGAGCGGATGCATGTACTTCTGCGGCGTTCCATCATTAATGAGGGAGATTGAACTTTCAGCGGGGGTTTAGATATTGACTACCCACCAGACCATACCAACCCAGCCCGAAGTCCCAAACTTCGGGTTCGGGGGCGTACGGGTTTAATATTTTATTTTTTTCTTTGATGTTCCCGCACTTGGAACACAGAGAAATTGGGGTCATCGGGTTGGGTAAGGGTGGCTTTGGTTTGTATTGCTTGAATTATGAGACGACGCGACGGGTGAATATATTTCGACAACAGATCTGTCCGTGGCGGGACTGATGCCAGCTCCTGCACGTGTTTTTTTGTATTGTTGGCGGCCTCAGCTTTGGGTTCCATCTCATTTCCCAGGCATACCAGAAGCGGTCCTACCCAAAACGACCATGCCCAAACGCCCCATTCTAAAGTTGTTTTTTTTTTCCGCTCGGCATGCTCAAGTGCATTCCCAAACATGATGCCAGTGTGCACTTCTCATGTGCGCCCCACGACCCCAACCGCCAAGCTTGCGCACGCAAGCCTGACGTGGCCGTCCAGAGTCTTACAGTCTAGGCCTCCTGGATGGGTCGAGTGGGTCGGGTCGGAGGGTCGCGCTGCATCACCGAGGCATCGGCGAGGGGGCGCGATCCTCCGACCCCCATCTGCCCCGACCCCGCCTAAGGTGCCCCTACGCAGTCGGACAACAGCGACAGGGAAGCCAGCCTCGGCCAGGGGGCTCCCCCTCCTCCTCCTCCTCCTCCTCCTCCTCCTCCTCCTCCTCCTCCTCCTCCTCCTTCCCCTCCTCCTCCCCCTCCTCCTCCTCGTCCTCCGCGTCCCCGAAGGCTTCCAGGGGGCGGTCCCATCTGTCGCTGGGCGGGGCAGCCTGGTTGGCAGCCCGGGGCCCGCCCTCGCCGTTCTAGGTCCTCCCTGCGCGCGGCAGCTGGCCCGGGCTCTCGGCTGCGCGCGCGCGAGTGCGCGCGTGTGCGCGTGACTCGCGAGTGCTCGGGGCATGGGAGCTCTGCACATTTCACCCGTCCTGGCCAGGCCCACTGCGGTCTCAGGACCGACACGCACACGCCCACCCCTCTTGGCCAGGCCAGGAAACCGAGTATCATGTATGGCTGGCTGGCTGGCTGGCTGGCTGCCTCTCTGGCTGGATGTATGGATGGATGCATGCCAGTACCAGTATGTACGTAGGTACGTATGTAAATACAAACACATATATATACACATATACACATATATATATGTGTGTGTGTACACACATATGCATGCATCGATCCTGGGCCCGGGATGGGCCTGGCCTGCAGCGGCGTATGTGCAGAATTCTTGTTGGTTGTTATCCCTCTCTCTCTCTCTTTCTCCTCTAGCCGAGTGCGCGTACGCGGCTGCCGCCGCCACGCGCGCGCAAGCGGCCGCCACTGCTCCCAGACCCCTTGCGCCATGATTTGTTTATAGCGTCGACCCCCAGAGGTCTCGACCCGGTCCCTGGGACCAGTTTTGCATCTCGAGCCGTGTTTCGACGGCCACGGGGCCCAGTAAGGGCCCCCAGAGGCAGAAAAAAGCGAAAAACCTCCTCCTCCTCCTCCTCCCTCCTCCTCCTCCTCCTCCTCCTCCTCCTCCTCCTCCTCCTCCTCCTCCTCCTCCTCCTCCTCCTCCTCCTCCTCCTCCTCCTCCTCCCTCCTCTCCTCCTCCTCCCCCTCCACAATTACACAATATGAATACTACTCTCCCACTTCCCCTGATGGCGTCCGGAAGATATTCGGCACCCCCCCGCGTACTGTTTTTTTACACACAGGATTCCCCGGAGTTGGGTTTTCGCTTGTGTTTTTTTCTAAAATGCTGCTCTCGCTGAGGCGCCGGCCTCATTTTCGGGCCCCGCTCGTTCCCAATCGTGCTCCCGCTGCAGCGCTGGCCTCATTTCCGTGCTTCCGCTCGTTCCGAATCGTGCTCCCGCTGCAGCGTTGGCCTCATTTCCGCGCTTCCGCCCGTTTCGACTCGTGCTCCCGCTGCCGCGCTGGCGTCATTTCCCGTGCCATGCCCTAGCACACGCGCACACACGCACACACACACACCACCACCACCACCACCACCACCACCACCACCACCACCAGCAGCACCACCACCACCACCACCACCACCACCACCTGCACCAGCACCACCAGCACCACCACCACCAGCACCAGCACAGCACCACCACCACCACCACCACCACCACCACCACCACCACCACCACCACCACCACCACCACGCACACACGCGCGCACGCACGCACGCGCACCACCACCCACTACGCACGCGCGCGCGGAGCCACAGGTCCGCTACGACACGCGTCCGCGGATAGAGAAAATCAGCGCCATGGTAAGGGATGGGAGGGTGGGGTAGGACGTCAGATATGACGCGAGCGCACCTAGCTTGTCCCCCTCCCCCTCCCCCTCCCCCTCCCCCTCCCCCTCCTCCTGTCTTCCCTTCGCGCCCCGAGGGGGGCTCTGGGGCCTGCGCCCCTCCGCGCCGCCGCTGCCCGCACCAGGCGCGGCGACGCCGCCGGGCACCGGCGGGGTCACCCCGCCCCGCACGAGGCCGAAGGGCAAGGCGCGGGCCTCGGGGGCGCCGGCCATGGCCGCCGCAGCCACGGGCGCCGGCGGCGTCGCCGTCGTCCCAGACCCCCTCGGGCAATGAACAAATCACGACGGGAGGTGTTTCCTAATTTCAGGCCTTTGGAGGCCCTAGCCGGCCCTGGGGACCGTCAAAAAACGACTCGGGATGAAAAACCGGTCCCGGGGAATGGGTCGAGATCTCTGGGGGTCGACGTCATGAAAAAATCATGACGTCGGGGGTCTGGGGTCGTCTTCGGGGTTTCCGGAGATCCCGTATTGAAGAAGTCAGGACGTGGCATATTTGGGCTCGCGCCACGTACCGTGTTCCATGCGTCCGTGTGAACGAGCTGCGTGCTGGCTCTGCGTGTTGGCCCACGCTGGAGCGAACGTGTCCCCGCCAGACCTGCGCTGTCAACCCGCGTGCTGAGCTCCGGGTCAACACGCTGCGTGTGCTGCGCATCGGGGCACCCGAGCTCTGGAGGTCCTCCGGAGACCCCTTTGCTCCCCGCCCTCCGCGCTCCTCGTCGTCGTCGTCGTCGTCGTCGTTCTCGGCGTCGTCGTCGTCGTCGTCGTCGTCGTCATCCTCCTCGACGTCGTCGTCGTCGTCGCCTCGCAGGCCCGCCGCGCCTCCCGGCGGCGTCGGCCGGGGCCCGCGGGAGGGCGCTCGCTGGCTTCGCCCGCGCGCTCGCTCTTGTGCCCCGCTCTGCACGCCCCGTTGGCGCCCCCTTCGCGCGGCCGCCCCGAGGTGCTGATGCTGACGCCAGGCGCGGCGCCGCGAGCCGTCGCCGCCGCCGCCGCCGCCGCCGCCGCCGTCGTCGTCGTCGTCGTCGTCGTCGTCGTCGTCGTCGTCGTCGTCGTCGTCGTCGTCGTCGTCGTCGTCGTCGTCGTCGTCGTTTACGTGGCGCCACGAGCCGTCGTCGTTGATGTAGTGCCACGAGTGTCGGAGGTGGACAGACCTCCTACCCTGACACGTCGATTGAGAAATTGGCCGTTGTCGATTCGCGAGAGGGCGTCGCGGCCGTCATTTTTGCGGGTTCAGGTCCGTCGGTTTCGGTCCCAGGCCGCTTTCACTAAGGGGAGGTTTACTAAAGGGAGGTTTGTCCACCGCCGAGAGTGGTTCCGCACTGTCTTCGACGGTTGGTCCGGCGGCGTCGTCCTCGTCGGCGAGGCTGAAGAAGGGGTAGGGTTCGCGGGGAGGGGAGTCGGGAGGGCTAGGAGGACGAGAAGGAGTGGGAGAGGGTGTAGACCGGGACGGAAGAAGATGGGGCAGGAGGAGGAGGAAGGCGTGGACGATCAGGAACAGGGCGGGGCCAACGAGGGAGCAGGGAGGAATGGCTGGTGATGGGGGAGTGGGAGTGGGGGACGAAAGGGAGGGCGGACATGGGGAGGGGGGCGAGGGGGACCTTTCCAGAAGAGGGAGGGGCCGGCGTGACTGGATCGGCGTCAGGTGCGCTCGGGAGGGGGGGGGGGGGATCGTGAGCCGCGCGAAGACGCCATATCAGGCATCCGAAGCGTTCCCATCCTTTGCTCTTCCCCCCATCACCGTGAGCCCCCTCCGACCTGGGCGCCCTCCGCAACCAGAAGACAGTTTTGCAGTGAACGCTGGCCTGCCCCCCTGCAGGAGGAATCTTCAAGAATAGTCAAACAAATAGTCAGGGGACGATTTTTGAGGTATTTCTAGCTTTTCACCCAAAATCCCCCTGTAGGGGGACAGGCCCGACCTAATCTTACAGGCGACCAGCCATGCCTGGGTTTGGGCCTCGGGAGACCCGCTCTCAGGGCCCCCGGTTGAGGCCGCACGCATGGCCCAGGTGGAGGCAGTGGCCCCCCAGGAGGGAAGGAGTCCAGAGGCTCCTCCTCCTCCTCCTCCTCTTCCTCCTCCTCCTTTTCTCCTCCTCCTTTTCCTCCTCCTCCTCCTCCTCCTTCTCCTCCTCCTTCTCCTCCTCCTCCTCCTCCTCCTAGCCGTTTCGACCCTGCGAGGGGCGGGGGCGGACCGCGGCGCGATTCGGAGCGGCGCAGCCGCGGCGGGCCATGGCACGCTGAGCATGCAGCTGACGCTCTACTTGGGCAGGAGCTGCATCAGCGACGAGCTGGGCGACAAGCTTGGGGGCTTCATCGCGTGCCTCAAGCCCAGGCTCGGCTTGCAGCAGGCGGCCATCGTGCTCTGCGAAGATGGCATTTGCAAAGTCCAGCATGCAGGCGAAGTTCACGCTCAGCATTTCGCAGCTGGGCCTGGGCATCGGGCCACTACCGCAGAAGGAGGGCGCCACGAAGAAGGAGGCGGTGCCGTGCCGCAAGCAGGGTACGGCCGTGACCACGACGGAGGGCAGGATGTGAAGAGGCGCAAGACCAAGCGGGCGCTGCCGAACGCGTCGGCGGTGGTCTACATGAAGTGCGGCTAGAAGAACAGTTGGCGCAGACGGCGGAGGGGAGCAATCGTCATTGCGCTCGGGGGCGTCAGGGCCATCGGAATGACAATCTCTCTTGCGTAGAGTCGGTGGGCTTCCACAAGGACGAGGCGGTGTCTCGAGTGGAGGACCAGCCGGCCACCTGCCACATCAAGGACGACGACGTGAAGGGTGTCCACTCTGGCCAGCCCCCTGATGCCGTTGAAGTTGCTGATCGTGGCGGAGTTCGCCTCGAAGCTGCAGGTCTCGCACGTGCTGTCGGACAGCATGCGGATGCAGATGCTGCCGGAGGCGGTGCAGATGATTTGCTGGCTGGGCCAGAGCGCTTCTTCATCGGGGACGCTGCCCCCAGCCCGAAGGCCAAACACAAGGGGAAGAAAGACAAGAAGAAGGATAAGAAGGGCAAGGCGCAGAAGGACCAGGGGCCGTGCCCTCTGGTGGACGGCCCTGCCAAAGATGCGGAGCTCGAGGAGGAGACCGGCGCGAAGTTCGACGGTGCCTCCGAGATGCAACAGGACGAGAAGCAGCTCCTGCTGAAGGGCCTCATCAGCACGGCGCAGGCCCTGCAGGCGCAGGGGCTCCTCGACACAGGCAGCACCCTCGACCGCCTCAAGGGCCTCCTCAAGGTCGAGAGTGAAGATAGGACATCGGTCTTATCAGAAGTCTCCAAGGCCTGAGTGCCTCGGGGGGGATGCAATCGGGGCGGGTTCCATTTGGGGTCTTCCTGGTCGTCCCCCTCGGGTCCTGGGTCTTGGTTCGGTTTTGGGCGGCCCTCCTGGCCGTCGCGGCCCTGGCGGGCCGCCACCCCGAGTGGAACCTGCGGGTTGCTTTTCCCCCTGGGGTCGGGGTCCGCGGCGCGGGCGCGCCCGTGGTGTCGCGTCGATGAGGCGCGAGTGGATCTCTGCGGAGAGGGGGCCCTGCCCCATGTAGTCAGCACCGTCAGCACCTCCTCCTCCTCCTCCTCCTCCTCCTCCTCCTCCTCCTCCTCCCTATCGCCGTGAGCCCCTTCCGACCCAGGCGTCCTCCGCCACGAGGGGAGAGTTTAACAGGCGGCCCGCCGTGCCTGGGTTTGGGCCCCGGGAGGCCTGCTACGGCTCCGGGCCCCCTGGCTGAGGCCGCACGCACGGCCCAGGTGGAGGCAGTGGCCCCCCAGGAGGGAGGGAAGGGATCCAGAAGCTCCTCCTCCTCATCCTCCTTTTCCTCCTCTTCCTCCTCCTCTTCCTCGTCCTCCTCCTCCTCGCTCTCTTCCTTTTCCTCCTCTTCCTCCTCCTCCTCCTCCTCCTCCTCCTCTTCCTCCTCCTTTTCCTCCCTATCCTCCTCCTCCTCTTCCTCCTCTTCCTCCTCCTCCTCCTCTTCCTCCTCCTTCGCCTCCGCCTGTCGAAGAACAAACAGTGGTAGAAACATTAACTTTTGGCGCTCCGTGCGGATTGTTTGGATCGGCGCTGGACCCCATTGGCGGCGCCTCGGGAGGGGGGTCCAGCGCACATCCAAGAAATCTGCGCGGAACGCCAGAAGTTTATGCTTCAGTCGTTGTTTGTTGCTCTCTCCTTGGGTGTGTGGCACGAAAAACGCTTGATGTTGGGTGTTTCACGATGTCTGGACACCTGACAGCGGGGGTTCCTTCCCCCGTCGCCGACACCCCCTCCCGCTCCCTTCCCAATCACACGCCGGTCGTTGAAAGTATGTATTTCTAGATTCCCGGATCCCGATCTACTTCAAGCGCCTTCCTTCTTCAAGAGTCGATCTGCTTTGGCAGCGTTTGGTGGTTCTCTGGGAGGGACTGAGCCCAATCTACTTCATTCGCCTTCCCACTTCATGTTTTCGCCCACTTCTTCCGACCGACGTGTAACCCTCCCCCTCCGACCGACATGTAGCCCTTCCCCTCCCTGCACCCATCCTTCCCCCTCGTCGGCCAGCCCAGTTCAGCGAGGCTTCGGGCGTCGGCTCCGCAGCCCCCTGCCCGCATCGCCCCGCGGCGCAGTGCACATGAGAGGATTCGGCGGCGAGCGCGGGGGGGGAAGTGAGAGGGAGAAGGCCTCACGGTCAACCCGCATAGTAAGGATGAGCGAATTTCTCTAAGGTTTTTCGCGTCGGCGGCTAGGCAGGGGTCGTCCGCGCTGGCGGGAGAGACTTTCTAAGGTTCCAGGGAGGCAGGAAAAAGTGGCTGGGGCCGCCCCCTCCACTCTTTCCACCCCTAGCCAGTTACCTTGGACTTTTCCAGCTCTGGCGACCTCCTCCCAACTTCTTCCTGCTCGTCGCAGCCCTCGCTGGTTTTTCCGACCCTGGCCACTTCCACTTTGACGGAACTCACAATTTCCACGTTTTCCAACCTCCTTGTACCCTTGCATCCGTCCCCTGCGACCCATCCTTGGACGCTTTCGCTGGTCTCTCGCCCCGCTCGCAGAGTGTTGGCATGGCCTTCCCAAGGCCTTCTGCATCCTGCGCATCCTTCCGAGATGGGCCGACTGGAAAGAAGGCGGCGGGGCTTCCCAGAAGCCCTCCGGCCTTCGCTGAGCAGTCTTCGGTGTCTTCGCTGAGCAGAAGGCCTGAGGCCTTCCGGGCCTTCTGAGAAGGCCCGCTCCCGCTCTCACTCCCCCCCCCCCCAGGC